TATGTCCATATCTTCCTGTACATGTGGCCATTTTATATAAACACATATTCTTGGCCAAGATCCTATATGTATGTCATCTATATCCTCATTGGTTAAAGGGTTGAGACTCCCCTCGACATATGCCTATATAATATCTTTGTATCTATGAATAAAGTTGAAGTATTGAGAATACCACTGAATGTGTGTTTTCTTGCTTCCCGGCCGTTATACACTTTGAGGGACTGAGAATTTTCCAGGTGGCAAAGAGAATCTAAAAAGGGACCGATTGTTAATTTACTAACAGTTCTTTACTTCCTTTAATAACCTTATTGCTATCACAGAAGAAATGGTGCTGTTTTTGTTGTGTAACACTGGATCTGCTCTTTTAAATAATGCTATTAAAATCCTGTGCTTGCTTGGAAAAGGCCATATTCATAAGTGTAAAAGTTACAGCTTCTAAACCAGATTGTATTGCATTTTGCTCCGAATTAACAAGTTTCGCTGAATCCCAAAAAGAAACAAAAAAGCAGTTAAAACAACTTTAAATAAGGTTTTGAATCATCTGTGAACTGAGATGGAATCTTTAGAAGAGCTTTCTTAACTCCTACTTGAGTCAAAGAGAAAAGTAAAGAAAATGACTCGCTGATTGGCTGAGACGGCTGTCAGTCATTTAGTTACCTGCCAACTAGTGGAGGAAATTTTGATTCTTTCAAGAGACTCGTTCATTTTCAGTTCGTTCAGCAAAATGATTCGTTCAGTGACCATTTCTTCATATTATATAAATACGCCAGCAGGTGCCGAAAAAAGAGTGTTTTATGTGGTATGTCTTAAATCAACGAACGGATTTACTTATTACATAAAACTGATTTGGCTTTATTAAAATGTGTGCATAATATACTCTTATAATTAAATAAATAAAGTCTAAATAAGTCGTTCAGATGACCAAAGCACGAGGTTTTCTTGCATAATTAACATTTTAATTGTTTGGTCAGACATTTACACATTCATAAATCCGAGATTAAAGGTTGAGTTATGTTCTGTATATATAACAAGCGTATGTGCACAGTACCTATAACTGCGCTTTGCATCCGCTTTATTATTATTTTTTTTTCCACTCTCATTCCTTTCATTCCCGAACGAGATATGTACCAGTTCAGTTCAGTGTTGCCAACTCCGTTTCAGAGAAAGTTGCTAAAGGAAGGTCGACTTGTTGCTTCGAGTTGCTAAATGACGTTGTGAAAAAATATATTTTATATATGTTAATTTAGATTTGTTTGTAAAATAATATGCATGATATAATATTAAAATATAAATAACTGTATTTTTAAATACATTGAATTATTGAAAACGTGCACATTTTTGAATGATTTCAATTTAAGTTTTCTTTAGTAGCTAGTAAACTAGTAATTCTACACATTCTCAACTGTTGTGCTTTAAGCAGTGTATTAGTAGTTACTTAGTATGCTACACTCTAAGAAACGTCTGTAAAAAATAAGGCACAATCTACTGTTAATATGAAAGAATTTTCCGTAATGGTTTTTTACCTGTATTTTAAATTACGCATTGTGTTTTCGGGTTACAATGGATGATGTCCTGAAAGATTTTCCATTTTTCTTACAGTATACTAACTGATCAAAGATCGCAGGTACAAGCTACTAACAAAGTGTATCATAAATGAACAATTATTCAATTATTATTATTAAATTGAACAATTGCAAATAGCAGCTAACTCAATTCTCGTGATGTGTGTACTGCTAGGCATCTGTGGTTTCCTCTTTTTGTGTCATGTGGATGGAAAATGTGTGCCTCTTTATTGTCTGAGTCGCTTATCAAAAGTTGCTAAAGGTTGCCAAATCAATTTTTTTAAATTGCTAAATTTGTTGCTAGGTGCTTTTGGAAGAAAAAGTTGCTAGGGTAGTCTGAAAAGTTGGAAAATGTTGCAACAAAACTGCTAAGTTGGCAACACTGGTTCAGTCATTTCATTCACGAAGGAGAAGATCTCTCTCGTTCAGACTCGAAAGAAACTCGTTCAGTGAAGGGCGTATTCGTTCACTACATTCAACCAATCACATGCTCCGTCCCATCTCATACTCAAAGGCTATTGGCTCGAGGTTGAGTCATTCTTAGACAGGATGAAACCATTCACAGAGCTACCCGGTTCACTGATCTGTGCATGCACTGCTATATGGCAAGCCGTTTTAGCTTAAAATAATCCCAGTGTTACTCGTCGTAACTGCATTTTTACTAGTAACAATTCAATTAGAGAGCTCTTCAATTAAATTCTTACGAGTAACAATAGGCGCGTCTCCATTACAGATTTGCGCAAAACTTTGCCGATATTTTATGTCGATAAAAAAGTATTGCGAAATGACGGCGTTTCCATTAACCAATGTTATGCGACTAAAACGTAACCTTTTGCCTCTCGCGATAAGTCGTGGCATCGGATTTTAGTGGGATTTTGACGGATTTTGGCTATATTTATTCAAAGGAGGCGTGTGTGTGTATCTTTACAGAAGCAGCAAAGAGAGCCGCTTCAGAAACGTGCGTGGCGCAGCTGGAATAAATCATAGCCCGTATAAAAACATAAACATAAGCATTGAGTGACCGCAATCAGCTTCAGTGACCGTATCAGGGCCACACTGCACCGCAGACGTGTGCAGTGTAAATTGTCTAAGCATTAATGGTAGGGAAAGCCACTTATACTGGAGCGCGGCCACTTATGAAGTGTTTCTTGGAGGTTATAATAAGTTGAAGAATGATCATATGACTTTTTACATACGTCATGTGACCTGTAAATGCGAAAAAGCCGTTTCCATTGCAGTTTTGCGAATTGATCCTTTTTCGCATTGCCTGAAAAACCACCTCATGCGAGCGTAAACTTTTTTGCGATATATGGGAGTTTTTGCGAAATTGCTGCTTTTCCATTAGGCGTATTTTCAATTCACAATTTCAATTTGCGCAATTTGAAGGGTAATGGAAACGCGCCTAGTGCCAGTTAGAGAGCTCTCTAATTCAGTTCTTACTAGTAATCATTTCGATTAGAGAGCTCTACAAATGAATTTTTACTAGTCATATATTTCCATTGACTTCCATTCATTTTTAATTACAGAGCTCTACAATTGATATTTTACTAGTATTACAATTAGAGAGCTCTACAATTGCATTCTTACTAGTAACAATTACAATTAGAGAGCTCTCTAATTAAAACAAAAACTAAAGATATGCTTAACTGCAGAGCTCTGTAATTGAATTAGAGAGCTCTCTAATTCAACTGTTACTAGTAAAAATTGTATTAAAGAGCTCTATAATCATAATTGTTAGAGACCTCTCTAATTCAGTCCTGACTAGTAAGAACACAATTGCAGAGCTCTCTAATTAAATTAGAGCTCTCTTATTGTATTTATAACTAGTTAAAATAGATTTAGAGAGCTCTCTAATTGGCATTGTTACTCGTAAGAATTTAATTGTTGAGCTCTCTAATTGAAATGTTACTAGTAAAAATGTAATTACGACGAGTAACGCTTGGAATATTTTAAGCTAAAACGGCTTGCCATACTGCTACGGAGGGAGGAATATCAGTGAACGAGAAAGATGAGTCAATGGATTATGTGAACGAGAACGATTAGTTCAAAAAGAACGATTAGTTCACGAACCTAACAAAAAATGTAATTACGACGAGTAACGCTTGGAATATTTTAAGCTAAAACGGCTTGCCATACTGCTACGGAGGGAGGAATATCAGTGAACGAGAAATATGAGTCAATGGATTATGTGAACGAGAACGATTAGTTCAAAAAGAACGATTAGTTCACGAACCTAACATCACTACTGCCAACAGCGTCAGTTCAGACGTGGCAGCAGGATGCGTGTCCTCTGTGTCGCGCCGAGTGATGTCAATGGCATCTTTTTTAGTGAATTGCTTGCAACAAAACTTTTATTTTTTTTATGAAACATCTTCTGCTCTGGCAATTATGGTTCCACGTTGTGTATCTTACCATACGAATGTGTAAATATATACAGTTTCTATTCTCTAAAGGAGAATAATAGTTGTTCAGTGAGGGACAATCCATGGCTAACAATTTCCATGTTTGATAGGCTACATTTCTAAGGCCTCTAAAGTACCAACATGATTAAAAACAGATATAAAAGCTGTTATGCGCAACAAAGGTGGCTGTGTATCTATCCAACTGCAAAGTTTTGTACATGTTGACTGGTATAATGGCTGATAGGATAAGTTCTGTGCACAATGAAGAATAGTAGCATATATATATATATATATATATATATATATATATATATATATATATATATATATATACACAGTAGTTCTGATGCTTGGATAGGTTTCGTTAGCTGTTCTATAGCATTAAATGACAGAAGTTAAGATACTATGATACAAAATATTATGAGATGCTATGGCGGATGGTTGAATAATTCCAGATTGCTTTTTGATTTCTTTTTGTACCACGAGGAAGTGTCTGACACTTTGTTCCTTGCCAGTCTGGCCTCTGTATTAAATACATACATGAAATTGTGTGTTATTTTCTACGAATGTGCTGAAATAAGCAGATCGTGCAGCTTTCAGGTCTCGTCTGTAGCTAGAAACACTATCCTTTCCTGCCCCTTGAAACGCCTCTAAATTTGCACTCTTCCACTTGCGCTCTTTTTTTGGAGAAGACTGTATTCATATTTTCTATCCTAACAACATTCTTACAGAGAACACAGAGGATTTGTGATTGCTGTAATATCTTTAGCTATCTTTAGGAACCTCTGTAAATCCCTCAGGCTGACAGAAGACTTTTACTTCTGGATATCAGACAAAACTCGATCCCACACAAAATGAATGCCTCCTGATGGGATCAGGTAAGGGACTGGATCCAGTATTCCTGGTGTGGAGATTCAATGTAACATTTTTGCACAGCAGGATATTGGCTGTGGATATCATCCTGTCAAACCTGGAGGGTTTGAGGGTTCATTTTGAAGTCACTGAAAAACAAATTATACCGAATGGGCTTTTTTAAATTTAATACAATATTATTAACCAAACAAAAGAACATGATTTATGAACTGTTCAAATCAAACCACTGTGAGTGTATCCGTGCGTATATTAACTGTACAGTTACACTTATGGCTGTTAACTTGTTCAGCGACTGTGATGACAGTTCATGTCACTGAGACAAGTTCATCCTGGAAACATGGTCGGTCTCAAATGATCTTGACAATGGGGAAGTATTTGTGTGCAGAGAAGTCAAATTCAGGAAGGGCCTACAAAGAAAAAAGGCAGGGATTCAATGAATTTCACAATATCACATAACATCTATATGCAAAATGTTGTTTTTTTTATACGTAACTGAAGTTAAGCTCTATATAAACAGCATCTGTGACTAGTTGTTTGTTACCACTGGACATCATTTTGACAGTTTGTAATAAGTCTATTTCTGCTCTGGTGAGCAGGTAACAGAGAGAGTCCACAATGCTCAAGCTGTACTCAAATCAGAACATTCCTATACATATATTGTACCTTGGTCTCCTTCTTATGTCCTCCAGCAAGCAGCTTCATTACAACAATATTGGGTTTGGCCACTTTAAGGATGCGGTTCACCTACAACAACAATCAGCATCTCAGTCCCTTCCTTTCACAATATATAATTAACAATGCGTGCGCTTGTCGGAAGGAGGGACTTTGTAGAAAATGAAGCGTTTGAGAGAGGTGGGGCATAGAGGACCTACAATAATGTACAGTATTTGAAAAATAATGTGTTTTTTGAACATTAAAGCATGTCAACATATTCTGTTACACACAAATACACAATAATGATCTTTAAAAAAGCATCATATGACCCCTTTAAAGAGCAGGTCATATGGGTTTTTGAAAAATATCTCTTTTGCAGTTTATAACGTAGCTATCCTTAAAAACAATCTGCAGTTGATTAAGTTGTTAATCAAAAAAGTGCATGATAAATAAAGATATTGTCTCTCAAAAGAGAGAATCGATTCTGAATCGCCTTAACGAGTCGTCATATTTTCGAATCTTTTGCCTGTTACTGGTATACGTCACTGGGTAACACATTTGCATAATCCCCGCCTGCCCGCGAAATATGAACAGAGTCTGACCTGCCCACAAACACTTCCACTAGTTAGTGTGTTTACATCATGTTGAGAAGACACAGTGTTCAAGGATAACACAGAAATACAATTCGAACCTTTTGTTGTGTGCTCGTCATTTTACTGAGGACTGCTTCTCTAAACTTGGCTTTTATCTTCGTTGGCTTTTAATATTCTTAATTAGGACTAACAAGCTCTCTAAAGCACAACCTGTAAGTACGATTTATACGTTATGTGTACATTTTCAATTGAGTGCTCAAAATATGAAGTTTTTGTGCTAATATGCGATGTACACCTACAGCTTTAGGTTTCCAGGTAAAACACGATATTACTGTCTTACTGAAGTAGTTCTGATAATTCGCTGTGAACCCACTATTTCCTAAGAATGTGTCGATTAATGTAGACTGACGTTGTTCTAATTACTTAGTTTAATAATAAAGAATGTAGTGTAGCACACAAAGTTTATAATCATTGTGAAATTGTTGTTTATTTTGCTGCACCGGCAGTTATATAGTTAATGCGGAAGAGACAAGCGAGTTAGTTTGTGATACAGCTGTTCTGCGTTCGGATTAAAAGTTAAGAGAGTCTTTTGTCTGTCGTTCTTCAAACATTACAGTAAACATATTTTGGTTTACAAACTGCATTGTTTCATCAGTTACACTGTAAAAAAATGACCATGAATTTAACGGTAAAAGACTGTAAAAATGCTACATGTAAAAACCTGTTAAATGGTTAACGGTAAATTCCCCTACTATATACGGTGAAAAACTGTATTGGACATTACGTGTAGTGGACAAAGTTTACGGTAGTATACCGTTTTTGGAAGTAAAAAAGACCGTATAATTTACAGTGAATAACCGTAAATTGACATTCCCAGAATTCCCTGCGTTACATTTCAAATTTGATGTTTTTTTTGTTGAAATAACTATGCTTCTTCTTATTTTTTTCTTATCAGTTTTGTATATTAGGGTTGTGTGTTACACCTAATGTTGTTAAATGAATGTTTATTGCATTATTTCAGTTTCATGTGTGTTACCCTGATGGTGTTTAGTGTTTGTGTGAATGACACTGTGCACCTTCTATATATGTTATTATTTAAAAGCTGCTTGTGATGGGCTTTGGTTCATCATGTGACTCTCTCATCACCACCTGCATTTGGTGGTTATCAGTGTATTACAAAGGTACAAAACAGATTTCAGTACTTCAATAGGTTGGTATATTAACATTATATCAGTTAATGAAATTACAGTATTTAACTGTAAATTTAAGTTAAAACCGTAAAACCTAAAACGTTGCTACCATATTTTTTACGGTAAAATTCCAACAACCACAGCTGCCGTTTTTGAACCATAAATTTTACGGATTTTTTTTTTTTACAGTGTAGTCATGTTAGCACTCGGCTAACGTATCCACCATTATTGTTTTAAGTGTTCACAGTTTAGCAGCTAAACTTTAGCTGTGGGCACGATTCGCTTCCATAAGTGTTTTTGTATTTTATGTCATTATTTTAAGAACGGATTGGAGCACTATATTATTGTTTTATGTAAAGGTGCTTTGCCAACGGTAGCGCTCGCTAACTTGCTCAAGGACTCCTCTCTGTGCCAACCACAGCAGGCTTGGCCAGCTGACCAATCAGAGCAGAGTAGGCTTATGGAAGCGAGGGGTTTGCTCCGAACTTGCTTGGAACTAATCGTTTCGAAATCATTGGCAAATGACTCTAATATTAAATGTATATTCTGAGAAAATGACAATGTTTTCTGACCTTAGATGCATTTAAACCCGTTGTAGAGAACTCCGACACAATATTAGGACACTTTAAAATACCATATGACCTGCTCTTTAACATTCATTTGATAGGAATAATCTGATGTATTTGTTTGCGCGCTTCAAATCCCAAATACCAAAAAATAAAAAATTATTATTTTTTTAAATAATTAAGTCACTATCTTGTTTAAAAATAGGCTATACCAAAGGTTTACGTAATATCTAGATTTTAAGGCAAAATTAGCTCTCTCTCTCTATATATATATATATCATATCATATCATATCAGCATATTAGAATGATTTCTGAAGGATCATGTGACACTGAAGACTGGAGTAATGATGCTGAAAATTCTGCTTTGATCATAGCAAAAAAAAAAAAAACGTTTACAATATATTCACATAGAAAACTATAATACTAATAATATTGCTATTTTTACTCTATTTTTGACCAAAACAATGCAGAGACTTAAAATAAATCAATAAATAAATTACAGACCAAAACTTTTTAACAGTAGTTTACCATTCTGAAATATAAATCTATGGTAATATCCAATGAAACCACTTCGCAAAGAGAAACAATGTAGGGCTTACTTAAGTCAAGGGTAATCATATCTATCCCTACTGGCTATATTTCTGTTATAAGATTGGAAAGTTTAACATTGCAGTATAAGGAGAGTTCGTACCTCTGCATCGGGGCTGGTGACGTTTTCAAGTATGAGTTTGGCCTGCTGGAAATGTTTACTGGCTGCCATATAGAGATCCGCTGAGCGAGGAGGAGGATTGTACTTCTTCAGATCTGACATTTCCTGCATCCCCACATACAAACACACTCTGTTTACTGTAATCTCGGGATAGAATGGTTGCAGTAAACATCATCTCAAAGCAGTAGTACCTTAAACTGGATGTAGTGCACTGGCGGCGGTGTGACGACGCTGTTGAAAGGGGCGAATCGATGCTCATAGCGAACCTGCTCACTGTCCAGCTCAAACTGAGGTTTGCGCACCTTTCTGTCCATATCCAATGCTATCATAGTCTGCCAAAAGAAAGACAGAAGAGTCAGTACCAGGGTCCTTCTTTGTTATGAACACTCTTATCACTGACCTACCAGTCAAATCCTGATGATTATGATTGATTTCTGTTATTTACAGCTTAATATTCTGTCACTCGGAAACATGTCACATTACAAAAGTTGCAAACACCATTTTGACAGATTTGTATGTGAGGTGTTACCTTGTACATGCCGGCACACATGTTCTGGTAAGCTTGGCTCATGGTGATCTCTTTATTCAGAGGACGAGCTGGCGAGACAATGAAAACACAGTGAGTCAGACTGAAAAATCACAATCCTACAGAGAAAACTGAAACTGCTGAATGACTGGCGGGCTGTGAAAACCTTTCTTCTTCTTCTTGCTCTTCTTGCTGCTTCGTGCTTTCAGCTGCTCCTCCAGGATTCTCTCCTCTGCCATCTGAGAGCTGTCCGCTCGACTCAGCGTGGACATGAGCCACGCATACAGAAACTCTGACAGATACCTGTACATGCACGGAGAGAAAGACTTATCAACCTTCCTCTGACTCTCAGAATTAAACAGGCTGTTTTGCTACTGTCCCTTTAAGACCATTTGCAAATGACCTCTGTTGTAATTTACTAACTTATTTATATGTGTAATGCTAATTCCCACATTAATGTGCACTTTGGACTTAATTTAGGGTCTGCACCAATCAGAGATGCACCAATATCGAAACTGTGTGTATTGCAAATATACTGAGCATTCTTAGTATGTGTTATTTTGTGTACTGTTTCAAGCAGTAAAACCATGCGTGTCATACCAGTAGATGTAATAATACTCATGCATGCTGTAGAGCTCCAGCTCAAAGCCGCTGAGCAGGTACTGGATCATGATGCGCAGGTTGTGATAGAGGATCCAGGTGCCCAGACAGGCTAAATGCTGCCTCTGAGGCTCCAGCTTCATCAGCAGACCGTGAAGAGCAGCGTCCACCTTCTCAGCCTAAACAACAACCAACACGCTCAATGATGCCTTACTGCTCACATCATGACAACAGACTGAACGTTTACATACCCAGAGATTAAAGGAGTTTAATCCAGTGTATTCTAAAGTGATCACTTCTTATGATGTACACAGTGGGGGGAAAAAAACACTTTTCTATCAGAGGTGTCTTACCTGGGCTAAGGAGAAGAAGAACTGGACTGTTGCCCTGTGGTCCAAAGTCCTCTTTTCAGATGAGAGCAAGTTTTGTATTTCATTTGGAAACCAAGGTCCTAGAGTCTGGAGGAAGGGTGGAGAAGCTCATAGCCCAAGTTGCTTGAAGTCCAGTGTTAAGTTTCCACAGTCTGTGATGATTTGGGGTGCAATGCAATCTGCTGGTGTTGGTCCATTGTGTTTTTTGAAAACCAACGTCACTGCACCCGTTTACCAAGAAATTTTGGAGCACTTCGTGCTTCCTTCTGGTGACCAGCTTTTTGAAGATGGTTTTTTAATTTTCCAGCAGGATTTGGCACCTGCCCACACTGCCAAAAGCACCAAAAGTTGGTTAAATGACCATGGTGTTGGTGTGCTTGACTGGCCAGCAAACTCACCAGACCTGAACCCCATAGACTATCCCTACTTTATTAGAAGTAGGCCAACAGCGCCCCCTACAGAATTAAAACTCTTTACTGAGCGGGCGTTAGGACCCTGGGGAGGCTGCCGCTGCACCTGCTATTACTGTTTCCTCTATCATACACCAAATGTGTCATTCTGTAGTGCTTTCTCAGTTTAAATGCAGCGATCCAAAACAGTGAATCTAATCATCGTTCAGGCAAAACTTTGCTTCAAGAATGAGCCACAATTCTGATATGATCTAATTGCTAGCACACCCTGAGCACATGTGAGTTAATGTATTCCTCTTATCGGCAAGACATATCGGCATAGTTTTTCATATTGGATCAATGCCGATATTTACATTTAAAGCCATTATCGGCCGATTCTGATACTGGTCCGATAATATCGTGCATCCCTAGTTCCAACAAAGTGGTTGCCGAGCAAGACACAGAAGTAAACAAAGGTGTATGATTGTAGTGTAATTTACAACAGCTTCGAACGCGGCTCAACCAATCAGAATCAAGGACCGGAACCATCCGTTTTATAAGACCGAATTTTCATTTTTTTGGTGAACTATCCCATTAAGGTCTTTGTAATAACAAACACTGATGAATTGAGAGCAATTAGACCAGAGAAACTTGTCAAGAAAGTAAACAGGGCCATTTTGTTGACTTCACATGTTGGTTTTAGCCAAATAAAAACCATCTACGTCGCACCTCATCCTGAAGGGTGGCGAACTCCTCCAGTATGTGACCCAGTTTGTCTCTCTGGCGTGCTCGGTTGTGTCCGTGGATCTGGATCAGGCTGCAGAATGGCTGTGACACATGGTAACACTCTTATTTCATCACATCACAAAAACGATTTCTCCTGTCTTAACATGTTCAACAAAATGAATCACAAACCCGTGTGCAGTGTGTGACAAACGAGTCAATGTAGTCTTTAGCCTGGTGGTTATTGTTCAAACTGCATCTGTGAACAAATAAAACAGTGTTAAAACAAGACGGGAATATTATGTGATCTTAAAGGCGTCATGAGTTGAGAATTTAGTAAGTCGATAAGGACAGGCAGGAGAAAAAATAAAACTGGTCCACTGGACTAAAACTAACATTACTTAATCTCAGCAGCTGTGATACGCGTAAATGTTTATTTAATATGCAACGATGTTACCCAATCATAGCAGTGGCCGTTTCCGTTGAAGTTTTAACGAAAACACGGACCTTTAAGTGGAGTGTTTAAATCAGAATGCTAAAATTCGGTTAGAAAATGTTCTTTTATTTCTAAATAATAGTTTTTTAAACACAAAAATACTACTAATATTTTAAGTACACTTTACGAAACATTATAAAATAAAATAAAAATACAATTACACAACCTCTTTAATAAGATTTGTCATTTATTATAAAAAAACTCTTAATTAATAAGCAAATAATACAATGTATCCAAATAATCACTCACTTTGGGGAAAGGACAGGTGGACTGACAAAATACCGTAGTGCATCTTTAATCATATCCTGCATCAGATGAGTCCCAAACACCTTCTTATTGTCAATAAGAAACGTGGTCTGCATCACACAAACAGACAGCAGTCAAGTGAGCATTATGACTATCTACATGCCAAGACCAACCATCACGTCCTACATTTCCTGATCAATGTGTAACATAATATAAGTGATACAGTTGTGTTGAATGTGTTATTTGTTGATAATAAAGCATTAAAAATACATTTCCTGACCACAGAAGAGATTTATAATGTAATATGAAGACGGTCTCACCTGCAGCAGAGACCTGGACAGCACACACGGAGACTGTTCACTGAACTCACAGAAGAAATCCTGAAACACATTCAGCAGCATTAGTTACATCTATCTTTATAACAACCCTAGAAAGCATGTATTTATACTGAGAGGTATTTACCAAGATGCTGTGCAGGTTGGTTATGTTGATGACCTCACAGACAGTTTTAATGCGCTCAATGAGTTTGCTGAAGTAGTTGACCATCTCTTCTCTCTTGATGATCTTGGCATATCGTGGGAAAGTGGGCGGGAGCAGGCGCTGGTTAACCAGCGGCTCGAAACCCATCATGATTGGGTGATCTGCAAAAACCATGGCGTTTAGCTTTGTGGAAGTCCAAGAAGCAATTTCTCTGACAAAATAAATACAAATTTAAATTAAACATTAAGGGACAGTTTTACTAACAGCTTGCGCCAGCGCAAACCGTTTTTTGGCGTTAAAATAGTACCGTCAGGAATTACTAAAGACGCGCAGTGATGAAATTATCGCTGAAGAGGCGTGGCCACAGTAATTTTTGCACCTGACCTTATTGAATATGCATTTGTAGGAGTTTCCCTTTCAGACGCAAAAGTTATGAGAGGAGAGTATTCAAATGAGTCACGCAACGTTTCCGCTCGTCAAATTACTGGCATTTGTGCCATTATTTAACGCCCAAAAAAAGCACGTTTTAAACTATTTTGCGCTTGAAATGGCTGCAATTATTGTTGCTATAGGAGGCACCGCAGAGAACAGAGAGCGCATGGTAGAAGGAGAGGATTTTTTCCACACGTAATAATTTTTTGGGAATGCCAGAACACCACATTATCCGAACATATCGTTTGCAAAGCCATGTTATTTTTAACTTGCTTCAGGAAATAAAAGACGACTTGGAATACCAGGTCTATCAAAACTTCATTTTCAACGTACCGTGGCTTCTTTATTTCTTTATTCTTTATTTGTGACTACGCTAATTTGCGCTGCGCTTGGTATATTGCGTCGGTCGATATGTAAATGAGATGTTGCGTCTGTGTTCTTTAATTTGTGCATTGTTAGTAAATCACCCGCAGAAATTTCCACGCCCATCTGCACTGTTTTGGAGTTGCGCTCTTGCGCTAATTTGCCGTTTAGTAAAACTGGTCCTAAAGTAAGTAAATTTAATTCAAAATAAAATGAAGAATATTAAAAATAATTAGAAATACAATAAAAAAAAATATGAGGTTAAATTAAAACAAACAATTAATTAAAATAAGAAATATTATGTTCAATTAAATTTTTTATGTAATTAAGCATAAAATGGAAGCTATTAAATAAAAAATAGAATTTGAAATATTAAGTTACATTTAAAAATAATATTACAATTTTAATTGTATTATTACATTTAAAGAAGAAAATCTTGAAATAAATTCTAGCTGACAACAAGTTTAAAAGTATCAAGAGTGTTATATTGATTAACAATGTTTCAGACTGTTACTGTACCTCCTTTGGTTGTGTCATTCTGTGACTGTATGCCGTACTGTACGGTGGAGTCAATCGCTGGCAGTAAGTCAGCAGCCTGAGTCATCAGCTTCTGTGCTTCACTGACAGCACTCGTCTGAAATGTCAAATCAACCAATCAAAGACCAGGAAATGAACTGATGAATCATTTTCTGAAGCAATATGCTTGAGTGAATTTAATAATGTCATACCTCTTTTTTAGTGAAGGAGATGAGAGCACTGAGCAGCAGGCGAGTGAATTTAACACGACTGAACAGAGCCAGGCACTGCTGATGCTGAGGAGGACAAAAGAGAAAGAAAAAAAATCGCAGAATTCTCTGTACGCTGCTACTGTCTAGCTGACAATATACATCAACTTCAGCCAAACCATCCACCTATGTCTGTATCTGAGGGTCGAGTATTTTGGGGAAATGTTTATATGTTAAGCTTACATCCAGTTCAACCTCAGGATCTCGTTGTTCACCCTGTCGACTGCGTGTACTCTGTAAGAAAACGGAAGAGACGCATACTTCAGAAGAGAAAAAGCAGAAAATATGGGAAGACTCGTGAAAAGTCTAGAGATACCTTCACTTTCCTCTGAAGTTCATCCTCAACATCTTTTAGCATTCCTACAGAAATTTCATTTGAAATGGTGAAATGAAAAGAAACTGAATGAACACATAAAAACAGGTTCGAGCCATAACGTCGCTAATTTACATATTGCAGGAAAACGTAGCCAATGTTTTTTGCATCAGTAAATTATTTCCATGACAATTAATAATATTTTCCCTCAATATTCTCTTGAATTCCTCTTTTAAATGTTCTGTAATTAGTCGAGATGTTTCACTTTTTCAAAAGTAACATTCAAAAGTTTATTTTTTAAACGTAATTTATTAAAGCTGAATTTCCAGCATCATTACTCCAGTCTTCGGCGTCACATGATCCTTCAGAGATCATCCTAATATGCTGATTTGCTGCTCAAGAAACATTTATACTAATTTCAACTAATAAAACGTTCACAATAAAAGCATTTATTTGAAATTGAAATCTTTTGTGACATTATAAACGTCTTTACTGATCAATTTAATGCATCCTTGTTGAGTAATGATTGTTTTCATTACAGTATTGAGAACTAGTGAGAAAAGACACTTAACTCATGATAATAAACAATAAATATAAAAGTAAATGCAAAACCTTTAGCCTTAATTTTAAGCAAAATATAAATCACAATCTTTAAATCATAGTCTTTACACTCACCTGTCACTCTCAGATCTGTTACGTTGTTTGCCATTTTAAAACCATACGTCATGGCCTGAAAATCTTCCTGGGATTGCAAAACATAAATCCATATTCACTGAATAAACAAACAGCTAAATTTAACACTGAAGGAAATGCATTAAACTGAGTCTATGAGATTAAATGGATTTTTTTCTGGGTCTTTGTTCATTTAAATATACATTATGTCATCGGTAATCATAACGTCATAAAACTTCATTAAAAATGTGTCTTGCCTCCTCAAACACAGCAGCTTTGTTGACTTTCTCGCGGGCGATGTCGCAGATCTTGAGGATGCCCAGAGCGAAGGCTTTGAGTGCAGGGTCTTGAATCAGATCCGGATTATGAACATAGAGACACGTAAACACAGTCTGAGCCAGAGAATGCCCCTCCAGCCATGTGATCTGAGACAATAGTGAGACAATATTCAATACAGCATACACACTGATATGCATAACACTCAACCAGACACTGCTTTGTTAATATACTACTTTACTAAGAAAACCTTTGGTGTCTGTAAGATTTTTTAAATGGGTGTCAGTGAAGATTTTTTTAGTCTCTTACACTCACCAATGCTGCATTTATTAAATCAAAAAATATATATTTTTTTACAATTTAAAATAAATGTTTTCTATTTGAATATTTTTTCAACTATAATTTATTCCTGTGGTGCAAAGCTGAATTTTCAGCATCATTACTCCAGTCTTCAGTGTCACATGATCCTTCAGAAATCACTGTAATATGATGTTTTGCTGCTTAAGAAACATTTCTTATTATTATTACCAATGTTGAAAACAGTCGTGCTGCTTGATATTTTTGTGGATTTTTCCCCCCACAAAAGGATGACTAGAAAGTTCAAAAGAACAGCATTTCTAATATTTTATTATTATAAATGTCTTTACTGTTACTTATAATAAATTTAATGCACCCTTCTGGATTAAAAGTATTCATTTAAAAAAAAAAATAAAAAAAAAACCTACAGTAAAAGTAAAATTCAAGCACTTTTTAAGCACTTTCAAGGTGCATTTTAAAAATTTTCCTATTAAATTTAGGGTTGCAAAGTTTCCGGAAACTTACCGGAATATTAATTTTTATTATTATTAATTTTTAAAATAAATATAAAAAAAAAAAAATCCCTGGAATATTCCCCAAAAATCCTAGAAAGTTCCCAAAATTTCTGGAATGTTTCCGAAATTTTCCACCTTTTTGCAACCCTAGGTAAATTACATGTTTGCATACATACTTGATCAGTCAGATGTTATTGTGCTATGAAAAAAAACACCCGTCTGGATTGCATATAACATTGCCTAATATAAATATCCAACATACAGTATATAAGGCTTTTTAAGCCCTGCACAAATAAAATGAATACTGTATGAATGGGATAGGGCAATGCCTATGGTAACATATTTGACAGGTACCATAAAATGACAGTAAAAAACATGATTTGCAGTTCAAAAACAGGTTTTTCACAAATAAATACAGTTTTATATAGTGATAAACCTCACATTTCAGCCTTTACACTATTTTGAAGAAAAAAGGGATTAGTCAAAAGTAGCTATTATTATCTTAATTTAAAACACATCCACACACAAAAGTATAAATTACACAGGTACGTCTGCAAGACGTCTGTTAAAGATCGCTTGATCTGGAAAGCATCTGCTGTTTACAAACATCTGAAAGATGTCAGTTTTACTTACATTCTAAATCGTAAACAGACGTCTAATAAACATCTATATGACATCTAATAGGAAACGTCCTTTAGATGTATTGCAGATGAGCAAACACTCTAAAAAATACGTCTTCCAGATGTAAACTCGAGCGGAGCTGTAAGGCTTATTTTATGTACTATTATGAACTATTCAGTAAGAAAGCGAATTATTCTGAAACCAATTCACCTGCATTTTCAAGCACTTTATCCAATATTTCAAACCTTGAAAACACTACATTAAAATTCAAGCACTCTTACGAACCCTGAACCTACCACAAATTCCCCCAAAATATTACACAGCACAGTATGATTGCTTGTAATTATTGAATACTTATTGCATATTGTTATTACTATTATTTATTACCATTACAGGCACTTTTATTATCTTTTTTTTTTTTTACTTTCATGAGACCCAATAGAGTGTTGGCAATATCATTCTGACCAGACAGCAGAAACATGTGTCCATGATCCCGATGAGCTCAGGGATACTCAGATCCTTCACTCGTATGGCCTCATCCTTCAGAAAGCATCCGAATAAATAAGCATCAGGACAGAAAAAACGAAATGGATGCAGACAAAGAGAGACACAAAGACACTTTCAGTACAGTTTATATTCATACTTAAACTTGCTATGTTCAGGTTAATTATTACCTCACTTTATTAGACAAAATATTATAAGGTAACCAGCTCTTACCTTAACGGCCTGTTCAAAGTTGAGGACTTTGCGGTTGACTTGGTTTCCAATCATCCCGGCATCCATCTTCGGATCCATCATCTCAATGGCTGACATCGCCTCGAACAGACCGAACCTACAGGAACACGAGCATTACGTCTGCTGAATTCACACACCAAACGCTGAATGTGTAACTCAAATAAGTCAAATGCGCTTACAATTTGTCATGTAGCAGCTCGCCAAGTTTAAGTTCTGCAAAAAGAAACATTTATTCAGCAAATTCAATTTCTGTGCATTATTCTCTACAAGACTCTACAGGACAGTGGCCTTGATAAAACATCACCGATGACAACAACGGTCCAAAAAACATGTTCACAATAAGATAAATGTGTTCGGTGCTGGAGTCGATTCATGATGCGGTCAAGCTCGCATGGGAAAGGAAGCTCATTTTAGATCTCTTAGTGACCATAAATGGCAAAACTGACAACGTCAGGAGAAGATATTCCTGCAGCCATGCCTCACTGCACTTTTAGAGAACATTTCTCCAGAGCAATGAAAATGCAAGAGCACTGGCTGTGATGTGATACAAAGCTTGCATCCTGTTTAGAAATCACTTTACACCTCTATAAATAACTGCCAGTTATACAATACATGGACTTTTTTGCTTGTTTTGGAAAAATCTGGTTTGAATATTAATGTAAATGTCACATAAACTTGGCATGTGGAAAATGGCTATTCTGAGATCATGTGCTCTCTGATGACCGTGGCATCTGCTGCAGAGTTCAGCCAATAATAATGCTCTCATAATAAGCCATAAACATGAAATACACACACACACACACAGACAGACACACACACACACAGACAGACACACACACACAGACAGACAGACACAGACACAGACACAGACACACACAGAGACGCACAGAGACACACACAGACACACACACACACACAGACAGACAGACACAGACACAGACACACACAGAGACGCACAGAGACACACACAGACAGACACACACACACACACAGACGCACACACACACACACAGACACACACACACAGACGCACACACACACACAGACGCACACACACAGACGCACACAGACACAGACGCACACAGACACAGACGCACACAGACAGACACGCACAGACGCACACACACACACAGACGCACACGCACAGACGCACACACACACAGACAGACACACACACACACAGACGCACAGACGCACACAGACAGACGCACACACACACACACCTTTACATGCTCCTTTGAATTCCTTGGTGACATCCACCCAGTTGGCGTTGTTTCTCATCTTCTCTGGGATCCCGAGACCCCAACCTCCCTCCTCCTCCTCTACCGAAGACTTCATCACCATTGAGACAACTGCGAACACAAAATATACATGGGTCAAAGACGGGACGTCCCATTTTGGAGTCTGCATAAGATTAAATTTTTATATACATATAGGCATATTAAATGCAACAAGTAAAGGGTCTACTTTAAGGTTTCAAATAACTTCTGTGAAAAAATCTCAAAATATAAGTGAAATAATCATCATTCAGCATAACAAATATATTTACGTCAAAATGAAAAAAATTTTTTTTTTTTTTTAATTCTGACCTGTATTTATTAAAATATATAAAAGATAAAGCAATCATACTAAAAATGTTTATACAGTAGTCAACATTTGAAGTGGATCAAAAAAGTTAATCAAGGTTGTGTCCTAAGACAAGAACGCATTTTGGTTTTAGGTTTTAGGACAAATTTGATGAAAGGTTTTGATCCACTTCAAATGTTGACTAGCCTATTTTAAATTATTCAAAAGACAAAGACTGGTGAAGATTGTAATTAGTACTTTGGGAGCTGCACTGTGATCCTCAAATAGAGCACCACTTCACCAGTTTGCTTTACTAAACCATATTTGATTTAATAATTAATGGTATCTATGTCTCAAAATCTAGCGAGTTACCAACGTAGACAGCATTTTCCGGCATTATATGTGCCTATATGTATGGCATATATATATATATATATATATACATATGCATCTCAATAAATTAGAATGTCGTGGAAAAGTTCATTTATTTCAGTAATTCAACACACACACACACACACACACAGACAGACACACACACACACACACACACAGACAGACACACACACACACACACACACACACACACACAGACAGACACACACACACACACACACACACACACACACACACAGTGTGAGCTTTTCAATAAAATAATGTATGCAAAATAATGAATAAAACGTGTATATAATTTATATTATTATTACTACTACTACTACTACTACTATTACTATTATTACTATTATTAAAGTACATATAAGTTAACCAACTGTGTCAGGGGAGTACAGAAAGAAGGGGAAAAAATACAAATGTCAATTTTCGTTTGTCAAATTTTTTACTTTAAGAGATATTTTTTTCCAAATACATTTTAACGTTTTAAGTTGTTTATTCAAAGATAAATAAATAAATACTAGATTTTTATCACCATCCACTTTCACATCAGCTTCTGGATATTCCCAATCCAGATATTCTAGCCCCCCCCCTGTCTGCCGACGTTACGTGACGCGACGCGACGCGACGCCGGCTCTGCGTCCCGCTGGAGGAGAGCTGATCTGTAAGCCATCTGTGCGTCAGTCTGGTGCGGTGTGTGTTGTACAGATCACGGTTTGTGCGCCAGCGCTGTTACTGGACGCGCCCTCGCTTCCGAGTGTGCTGGGCTTTAGAGTAAACAATAACACCGTCAGGGGCTTGTGTCTGTGTGTGTTGCCAAGAGAACGCGGCGAGGCGGTCAGATGGCGCAGCTCTCGCGTGCTTCAAAGGTTGGTAGACGCCTGTATTGTTATTTCTGCCCCCAGCTGTCCCGCTAGCGGATCCGTGCTAACAGTACAGCTTTCTCTGGAGGACAGGTGGATCTGACATGATCACGAGTTCACTTCTTACAGGAGGGGTTTAGCAGCTTAATATCTGATAAGGGCATTGAAATTAATTATTCATTACCTGAACCGCATCTTACTGTAATCAGTGTTATTCGCTATGACTAACTTCTTTTGACAACCTAATATAAAAGCAGTGTACTTGGTGTGTAATGTTACTTGCACACTGGCCGTGGCTCAAAACCAAACAGACTCCCTACATAGACAGCTTCTCTGGGAGCCAATAATGACCTAAAATGGCTGTCTGTGAAGGCGGCTCTGTAGGTGTTCGTGTCAGTGTGCCCAAAACTGCAGTTTATATAGACTTAAAAGGCTATAATACCCTGCAATGCTGTGTATGTAGGAAGCTTAGTAGGTTTGTGTTCAACAAAAATGCTGTCAAATAGGCTTTGATAGCCGAATTGCTACATATATCAGAAGTGCTCTAGGGTTTGATGCCCACAACTGCAGTCTAGGCAGAAAAATGATGTCCAAAAAGTGGATTTATGCAGAATGGTCAGTAGATTTTGATGTCCAAAAATGCTGTCAAATAGGCTTTGATAACCTAAATGTTGTAGCCAAATACTGGAAACTCTAGGGCTTGATGCCTAAAAATGCAGTCTATAGCATATAATGGCCAGCAATGCTGTCTAGGTAGAAATATCAGTAGATTTTGATGCCCAAACCTGATGTCAAATTGGCTAAATGCTGTATATATTGAAAGCTCTCTATGTTTGATGTCCAAAAATGCAGTCTATATAGGCAGAAAAGCTGCAACGCTGTCTAGGTAGAAGGCTCGCTAGGTTTTAATGACCAAAAATGCTGTTTATGTAGACTGATAGGTAATGGTGCCTAACAATGTTGTCTAGTTTGGCAGCTCAGTAGGCTCTGATAGGTAGGTGGCTTGTATAGGTAGGTTGCTCACTAAGTTTTGAGACACAGCCGTTGATATTGATTAAGATTCTTGCTGCTGTTTTCTATCCTTGAGTTGGTTGGGTACTTATGGTTCATGATTGTGCAAAGTAGCATTAGTGTGACTTGATACTCTTTATAAATTAAATGAGATTTTCTACATAAGCGCATTTCTAAATGTTTCTTCCCCTCAGCGGTCAGTTTGACGACTTATTGAATGTGACAAGACATGAATAAACCCAAAATGGCGGCAGAAAAGAGGTTCGTTTTCTTCCCCTCTTATAACATGCTTTCTGATAGGCTCTGATACCCTAAATGCTGTATATATCAATAGTCTTCGAGGGTTTGATGCCCAAAACTGCAGTCTATGTAGACAGAAAGGCTACAATGCTCAATAATGCTGTCTAGGTAGTAAGCTCAGTAGATTTTGATGCCCAGGAATGCTATATAGGCTTTGATATCCTAAATAATGTATACAGTATATAGAAAGCTCTCTATGGTTTGATGCCCAAAAATGCAGTCAATATAGACAGAATAGTCTTAGATACCCTACGTTTTATATATATTGGAAGCTGTCTAGGGTCTGATGCCCAAAAATGCTGTCTATGTAGACAGAAAGGTTATGAGATGCCCAAAAACATGATCTGTGTAGGAAGCTCAGTATATTCTGATGCCCAAACATGCTTTCTGATAGGCTCTGATACCCTAAATGCTGTATATATCAATAGTCTTCGAGGGTTTGATGCCCAAAAATGCAGTCTATATAGACAGATAGTCTTAGATACCCTACGTTTTATATATATTGGAAGCTTTCTAGGGTCTGATGCCCAAAAATGCTGCCTGTGTAGACTGATAGACAATGACGCCCAACAATGTTGTCTAGTTTGGCAGCTCAGTAGGCTCTGATAGGTGGGTAGCTGTATAAATAGGTTGCTCACTAGGTTTGAGACACAGTCCTTGCTGCTGTTTTCCATCCTTGACTAGGTAGGGTGCTTATTGTTCAAGATTGTGTGAAGTAGCCTTCCATGGTGTTGCTGTATGAGCTCATGGTGTTGTTTAATGCATTCGTGTGACTTGATACTCTTGATCAATTAAATTCGATTTTCTACATAAACACATTTCTAAATGTTTCTTCCCCTCGGCAGTCAGTTTGATGTCTTACTGAATGTGACAAGAAATGAATAAACCCAAAATGGCGGCAGAAAAAAGGTTAGATTTCCCCCTCTTATAAACACACACACACACACACACACACACACTTACTATCTAAATGGGGACATTCTACAGACACCTCTATTGTTTCTATATATTTTTATATACAGTTAACTAGCTGTATTGTTTTTATACTATATTTACAAATACTATAACCTAACACTAACAGTACACTTTCAGCATTTTTACAAAAAAATATATATATATCTATATACAGTATGTATAATTTTTTTTTTTTAAATGTTGAATATATACCTATATTATACCATGTTTACAAATGTGTCCCTAAAAGGAGGTTTTGGCTCACTTCTGGGTACAAATTTGTTCCCAAAATTACACACACACATTCATTAGCTGCTCTGTGATGACGATATGCAGTGTACATAGTTTGTTGTTGCCTAAAGAGGTGCGACACATCTTTACTCTGTAGCAAGCTTTGACGATGGTGTACTTTGCCTGTTGTGATGGTTTCCTGTATTCCCAGTGCTTCCCGGGTGCTGATGTTGCTGAGTCAGCTGGAAAGACTGAACGAGGAGCCCAAAGTCTCTGATAATGATGCCATGCGGCAGATCACAGGCAAAATCCTTCACCTCATCCAGACTCAAGGTGACCTTACACACACACACACACACACACACACCCCAAAATGATGCATTCATACAGTGAGAGGGATCATCTTTTTCACATATGCACAATAAAACCAATATTTAGTTGAAATCAAATTGAACTTTACTCTCTCTCTCTCTCTCTTTACTCTTATTACAAGTGTCTGATCTTTTTGTGCAAAAATGTTTAATTTGATCATTTATCATCAGAATTACTTAACTAATTGGTTAACTAATGCTAAAAGCAATAGCCAAATAGCAATTTAGACATTGTTTTAGGCTACTGTTGTATGGAATTCATATGGACTATATATATATATATATATATACAATAGTAATCTACTACTGGTTAACATTAACGTTCTAAAGGTTATGCAGGGTTCCCACGGGCCATGAAATTACAGGAATATCATGGAATTTTAAAAGCTCTGTTCCAGACATTGAAAGTCAGGGAATTTTACTTTTTTGTTTGTTTTGTCCAATTCATGGAATATCAGGGTTTTTTTGTTTGTCGCTTTGAATTTTAGTTTCTGTTATCAAAATGCCAGTTTTCTAAACCATATTTTTTTATCGCACTGTTTCACGCGATTTGCCTATCGTTATGGTTATGGTATTTTTCAGCACCATTTTATTCCCTTCCCGCTTGCCAACTGGCAATCACTTAAGTCAAATGCAGTCACGAGGCTGAAATAAAAAGACTGAATGATGAACTCGATGACAAACAGAATATCCTTCAGAGCGTTTAACCCCTGAAAGTGTAAAAAACATAAATTCATTTCTGTAGAAGTAGTGCAGAAAAATATCAAAGTGCGTTTAATGGGTAAAAGCAAAAAAAAAAAAAAAGTTAGTGTATATGCGTGTTTATCTTAGTTTTGTACTGAAAACGTCTGTGAACAAGTAAATAAAGCTTGCAAATGGATTTAAAATACTGTCTGTGGCTGGTTTTTGTCCACTCAGTGCTCAGCACAACAGCAGCTTGTTTTCCTATCATTATAGGTAATGGAAATTCAGCGTTTTAGTCAGTAAAAGTCAGGAAATTTGACATTTGGCTTAGAGTGGGAACCCTGGTTATGGCAATTACCCACCTTATTTTTCAATGTGGAAGAAAATTATTTTCTGTGAATGTGTGAGACTTCCGGTTCATTAGCCGCTGTGGGCAAATAACAAGAAGAAGAACAAAGTGCAGTAAACGGTAAAACTGTTAGCGCTACAATCTCGTGTGTTCATAATTAAGATAATTAATTTTTAGTGGTAAAATGGGGGTGTGAGTGGCATTTCATGCTGAGTTTATTATTTCTGTAGGATATTTTGTAATATGTACGGTCTTGAATTGTGCAGGTTATCACATTAGAAATGATCAGCTCAGCTTTCCTCCAGTACTGGATGCAGTCCCTCTGTGCTGGAATATGATTCAGATGGTTCCATTAAAGCATTTCATATATAATATTTCAATCATGACAACTCTCAGAATAGCTTTAGCGTGTTAATTGATATGACAATGTTACTATATTTGTTCTTGGCGGACTAGATCTGCAGTGCATGCTGCTGCAAAGCAAGTATGAACTTGCTTGTGCCAATATACACAGACACGCTGCTGTGAGCATGTCAGATATGCCACTGCTGCATGAGTATGCACACATAAATCTCGCAGCTGATCTAGACAAGTGGTGCTGGGGGAGGTGGAGGGTTTCTGAGAGCGCCCTGCAAGACCAGTTTACAGCAAACATTGAATCAGACTATTAAATGTTGAGCAAGCAATCTCAGGCCATCCAGTTGATACCATGTAGTAAAATAAGTGATTGCTAGCAAAATACGTAAAGGACCTATGAGTCTGTGCCATCTAGAGTTTCATGACTGAACTAATGAAAATGCATATTACTTCATGTTGGTTGGAGACTTTGGAGGATTATGGGAAACTAAGTGTTCATTGACCACAAAAAGGTCAATAAATGTGTTATCAAAGATATGTACATTACATTAGTTCGCTTTGCAAAAAAAAAAAAAAAAAACACTTGAACAGTACAAAATAAAAAACAAAGACAGTTCATGACCCCTTTAAGTCAATGATTTAACGACCTATTAATAACGACAGGCTGCATCTGAAATCGCATACTTCCCTACTCTGTAGTACACGAAAAACAGTAGGTGACAAAAGAAGTATGTCCGAATTCAAAGTACTCATAAAAGACTAGGCAAAGATGACCTACTACTTCTGGCGTGATTCTGGAGTGAGCATACAATGGACACTTTACCATCCCATGAGGCCAAGGGAGAGGATTTACGAATGGCTGTGACGTGTCACAGCTGACACTGGTATGTCATGTGACAATGACAACATTATGTAAGTCCAGATTGCATTCGTACTTTTGCGGTCACAAAGTAACTACTTAAGGGAGTATGTGATTTTGGACCACAGTCATTTGCTTTGTTTCTAAATGAATCAGCCGTTTTGAATTAATCATTTGAATAAAGACAGGGTTGGGCTGCCACCTACTGGCGGTTTTAGTCTAAACCAACCATGGTCAAGCACAAAAACACACACACGCACAATATCGCCAAATTATTATCACCAAAATTTCAATTTTTTGATTTTGATCAGTATCAGATACCCCTTAAACTTTTACTATTATTTTACGTGCATGCTTTTCTCAGCCAGTATTAATATCTGATACGTTTGATTAATCACAGTGCGTCATGTAAATAATTCAATTAAAATGGAATTGATTCAAATGTCTCGATCAGATCATCAAAAACGCATCTTAAATGCAGGTTGAAACAGGCCCGGAGATGCTGAGGGGATCAGCTGTGAAATGTGACTGCTCTGGGATATCCAGTATTGGTTTGTTCTTACCCCTGACCCCCGCTGCCCGTAACCATACACCGCATATGTGTAATATCTCTACTGTCTGCACTGTGACCCCCACACGATACCATCAGCAAGTGTTCCCACGTCTCCCAATGGTCTCTCTCTCTCTCTCTCTCTCTCTCTCTTTAACCTTCTCTGCCATATCCTCTGCCACTGGTGACTGTCATTGATCTGCTGTGGGCTTTGAAGGCGTGTGTGTTTTGACTGACAGCACCTGGGCAGTGGGAGGGCTCTGCTTCAATGTGAAATACGATTACACCGGTGTAAAATTCCCCCCAGTATCAGTGTTCTGGATGAAGCGCTGGAGTGCATTCAAGTTATGAGAGGAGGCATAAGAGTGGGTTGGATGTGTGTTGAGAATAAAGATGGACTATAGAAGCCATGCCAGAAGGAAGACAGGCGGTTTGTGTCGACCCCCGTGCAGCCCCGGTAAGATCAGAGCGGGATATGTGTATACGCACACAACTCCGCATTTAGATACGCCGAAATGCATCATTCATTACGTTTAGCTGCTTCTTCCAGCTGCTACTCAAGTGAAATGTTTCCAAACAATGTTGATACATGATACATGATGGTTAGTTATTTAAAAAAGGTTCACACTAGTGCTGTCAAACGATTAATCGCAATTAATCGCATCCAAAATGAAAGTTTTTGTTTACGTAATATATGTGTACTGTGTATATTTATGTATATATAAATACACACACAGTATATATTTTGAAAAATTTTTACGTTTATATTTATATTTATATTCATATAATTTGTTATATATAAATATATTTCATATATAAACATAACATCTTTTTCTAAAATATATTCGTGTGTATGTGTGTATTTATAGATACATAATAAATATACAAAGTACACACGCATACTATGTGAACAAAATTTTTTATTTTGGATGCGATTAATCGCGATTAATCGTTTGACGGCACTAGTTCACAAGTGTAGCAGCCTCTACGATAAATCAAATTGAATCTCTTAAATTTTAAAATGTTAGTTTTATTATATACTGTATAGCAAATCTCAACTGCTTGATTGTTTATATCATCATTCTCTACTACTCTAAAATTAGGCATTATAGTATTTAACATTAACATCACGATTTTCTATAAAGCTGTAATGTGTATTATGAAACTGTATTTGTATACAAATAAAATCGTAATTAATACGATTAATTGCAACAAATCTGTATCTCTTTCGTAAATGTATTTTATCATTAACTTTATCATTTAATACATCATTTAAATTAATCAATATATTGGATTTCAGTGTAATAGTAATAATTATAAGGTTCATTTTAGCTCATTTTAATGATAAATTATCAGTAAAATTCAACCAGTAATGTTGCTAAGAATGAACAAAGTTGCATCCTATTTAACAAAGGTCTAACAACTAAAATAAATATGATTATGTAATGCATTGTTCTTTTATCTATTTAATAGTGAAAGTTGTTTTTAAGATTTTTTTATTAATACAATTAAAATACCTTTTATTTTTCAGTATATTTCTAAAGCAGTTATAGAAAGCAAAACAGTATTTCAGGTTGCATAAATGTTTAAATGTAATTAGTTTATGAGCAATTAAATTAATTTTAGTTTGAAATTTTTATTAGCATGTTCTTACTGTTGGATTTAAATTAATCAATATATTGGATTTCAGTGTAATAGTAATAATTATAAGGTTCATTTTAGCTCATTTTAATGATAAATTATCAGTAAAATTCAACCAGTAATGTTGCTAAGAATGAACAAAGTTGCATCCTATTTAACAAAGGTCTAACAACTAAAATAAATATGATTATGTAATGCATTGTTCTTTTATCTATTTAATAGTGAAAGTTGTTTTTAATATTTTTTTATTAATACAATTAAAATACCTTTTATTTTTCAGTATATTTCTAAAGCAGTTATAGAAAGCAAAACAGTATTTCAGGTTGCATAAATGTTTAAATGTAATTAGTTTATGAACTCGAGCAATTAAATTAATTTTAGTTTGAAATTTTTATTAGCATGTTCGGGCTGATCTTGTTAGTCTATACTTGGCTCCGTTTTTGAAATGCGTTCAGGTTTTTTTCTGTCCTTTGGAGAGTGATTGAAAGCATGTGCCGCCTCAGCCTGACATGTGTACTCTCCAGCCTTCTGCCGTGTCACCAGTTTCTGATTTGCACAGCACTTTTTATTTATGTGTGTGTGTACATCCATGCTGGGATGCGTAACATGTTAATGGTAGATGGAGCGGCTGTGTCTCTCTTGTTACTTAAAAGGAGTCTTGGCATGCATGACTCGATATTTTAACGCCAGCCAAACTTTTTATTCTTCACGAGGTGTTGATTTTAGAAGTTCCACTGCAGGATTATAATGTTCTTGACCGCTCTATTTTTTGTGATGTTCCTCAAGTTGTTTTTTTAATGTGACTGTGCGGTCTTTAGTCTGCCACTAAAGACTCGAGTTGCTTCTATTGTACTTTGTGCTCTATTATTAGGACCTGTCAATATTTTTGCCAAAGGTTTAGCATCAAGTGTTGTGTGATAAGTCTCTTTCTTTCTCTCTTGAAAATGGGGGTTTTCATGCATCAAACCAATAAAAGTTTAAAGGGGTCATATGATGCTGCTAAAAAGAACATTATTTGGTGTAATGAAATGTTTATGCGGTTTAAGGTTCAAAACACATTATTTTCCACATACTGTACATTGTTTCTCCTCTATGCCCCGCCTTTCTGAAACGCGTCGATTTTTACAAAACTCATCGCTCTGAAAAGCGAGGTGTGCTGTGATTGGCCAGCTATCCAGTGCGTTGTGATTGGCCGAATACCTCAAGCGTGTGACGGAAATGTTACACACCTACCATACTGTGATGCCGAAGTAGCGATTGACGAAGTAGCGATTGACGAAGTAGCGTCCGGCGGGCTTGCGGCAACCACATGTGACGACCCCGGGCTGGACTCGGATATCGTCCTCTTTTGGAAGGCCAAACAAAGTAGTTTCGCTTTCACAACAAAGCACACAGCATCTTTACAACATGGCGGCGGCAACAACAATACTACAGCGAGAATAAAAGTTACGCCTTCTTTCTTTGCGTGAACATTTGGGCGGCATTATGCACATCTTCCCACATAGTGAGGTAGACATGTGGGGGCGTGTTAGAACGAGACGTTTTAGGTAGACGTGGCTGAATCTGAACTTTTATAAAGAATATCTCTTTGGATTTGAGACTTTAGTCTTTGCAACTTTACAGATCTTCTTTATGCACCAAGAGCTTGTAACACTCCAAAGAGAAAGGACAAATTGAAATCGCATCATATGACCCCTTTAATACAGCTTTTTTCCCCTGTACATTAGAATGTTGACTTTTTAATTGCATTTTTTTTTCTGAGCAAAAATCAATGGCTATTATACATTTTTACCACGATTTACAGAAAACAATGTAATTTAGTGTAACAATAGTTTATATACCAAAAATCATTTCAGGCATATTTAGAACAAGAATCATTAGATAACATTAAAAGGCTCTGTTTAAGGATGACAGTGCAGCCCCCCAAAATTAATTCATGGTCATTTTTGTCAGTCTTTGCAAATATCCTTCAAACCACTGGTTTTAACTATTTGACAGGTTTTAATAATTAATAAAATTAATTTTTGTGTGAGCACTTTTTCTTTTATATGTTTTAATAAGTACAGGTCGAAATAAGTACTGTATGTTTACATAAATATATCTGTTACACCGAATGACTATGGAACATTATTTCACCCATATTTTGACATTTCATTTTCACAAAAGTTTCACAGAATAAGCACTTTGGTTGCATTTAATATGCTTTATATGTATATAATATCACTTTTGTAAATTAAATTTTATATATATATATATATATATTTATTACTGTAGCTAAATAAGTCTTTTATTTTCAGTATTTTTTGCATTTGGCCTGAAAGTTTTTAGGAAAATTTTCTTGCCAAGAGCCAAATTAACAATCAACAACATTATGCCAACAAAGGCAGCTGATTGACAGTCGGGCAGCCTATGCAATGCCTTCTATCCTTGTAATCCCTCCCTCTCTGCTTCTCTCTCTCTCTCTCTCTCTCTCTCTCACACTCACGCTCACACACTCACTCACACACACACTCACTCACACACACACACACACACACACACACACACACACACACACACCTCTCTGTTGGCCGAATGCCATACTAAAACATCTCAGTCATTCAAGGCCCGAGTCATAAATGACTCTTTACCGCTCGTGTTCCCAGGTCTCTACCAAGGAGACATTTCTTGAAGTATTTCTACATGGCTATTGGATTTTAAAGGTGTAAAATGAGATGAATGTGACAGCCTAAACATGTTTCAGAAAAAGACAAAAGGGAAAAATAAAATATCAGGACGAAATAAAAACATGTAATGCTGAACTTAGTGGTCTAGTCCTCTGAAGGTCACCAGTTCAAAGCAAAAACTAGCCTGTCCTTGAGCAGGGAACTTGTTCAGGTACATAAATATTCTATATCAGGGATCCTCAAATCTGGCCCACGAGAGCCACTTTCCTGCAGAGTTTAGCTCTAACCCTAATCAAACACACCTGAGCATGCTAATTAATGTCTTCAGGATCATTAGAAAATCACAGGTAGGTGAGTTTGATCAGGGTTGGAGCTAAACTCTGCAGCGCATTGGCCCTCCAGGGCAAGATTTGAGGAGCCCTGTTCTATATGATGTATGTATTTAAATACAGCCATAGGGTTGTCTGTTAACCGTGTGTTTGGTCATGTTTCAGAGAAGACCCGTAATGAGGTGGCGTCTAAAAGCTCTGGTGGGATGGAGATCATTCTGTCGTCTCTGGAGGTAGCGTCACACACAACTGATGACTTTAATCACATCTGTTCATCTCAGATCACGTTGAAGTGTTTTTCAGCTGCTAATGCGTTTGATTTTGTCCAGAATACACCGGATTTGCAGACCACTCTCAACATCCTCGCTATCTTGAATGAACTGTTGACTGTGGGTGAGTTTCAGTGTTGCCATTGTTAATTAAAACTAAAACTATGATTTGTTTTTGTTAATTGAAATAAAGCTCAAATAAAACCAGATATGAATATTACATGCCAAACTTAACCCTATAAAGCATACTGTATCATTTGATTCCCACATTTCTAAGACCTCTTACCATCCATTTACTCAATATATATACCACACCAACTTTTATATTGTTTGCATATTTCAAGATAAATACTTACTGGACTGAAGCAGCTTAGATTTACTTGATTGTACATATTCATCAGTTTTGTTTTGTTTTATGAAAAATTGTTTTAAATATGATTATCAGCCTTTTGAGGGTCGTTTGTGTGTTTTATTTCTCAGTCATCATTGAATTGCATTATATGTTTTGCCCCCACAATAAAAACTACAGAGCTGTGATTATAAAACTCAGTATTGTACACTAAATTGTATATTTTGCTCAGTTTGAGCCTCTGAATAATTTTTTTTTTCTTTTTCTTTTGTAAAACATGGAGTCTGAGCGCCATATTTTTACTATATCATACTAAATGACCCATAAATGCTTTGTGTATTAAATATGATACTGAACAAAAAACACTTTTATGTATTTATTTATTAACATTTTGTCTAAAGGTTCAAAACACTTTTCCATTAAAAAAAAAATAGAAATTTATTTCATATGTCATGGCTTTACACGGTCAAACCTAAAAACTAAAACTAAACTTAAAATTAAAAATGATTCAAACTGAAATATAAAATGAAATGAAAGCTAAATAGAAATATTAAAAAATATATATATAAAAAATTTTTTTTTAAATATAAAGATAAAATTAATTATATTTCAAAATATTAATATTATACTAAAATAAGAACTAAACTGGTGAGTTTGTATTTCTAAATTAACTTCTGTAATGTTTGTCTGATTATTGTTTAAAATTGTCTCTTTATTTGTCAATTTGACTGGATTTGTTTACTTTTATTATTTCTGTAATTTTTTCTTTCTTTTTTTCTCTCGAAGTAGCACTCCTAGACTTCCATAAAAAGTCATTTTGTTCTCAACACTAGAATCAGCTCAAAGATGCTGTAATCAGGACACCTCAGTCAAAACAGTGTGTTTTTGCTGTGTTTGTTGTGGTAGGTGGAGGCCGCAGGACCGGGGTGTTTGTGTCTAAGGGAGGAACAGCTGTTCTTCTGCAGCTGCTGGTGAGCTCCAGCAAAGACCCTCCGGCCAATGAGGAACTGATGCTTCACATTCACTCTCTACTGGTCAAAGTCGGCCTCAAAGGTACAGACGACTCCAGAACTACACTCGTTTTAGCTTTGCCAAACACTAGATTTGGTACAATCCAAACATTTTCTTGTGAATATAGATTTATCTTTTTATCCGTTTGAATCTGTGTGAACCATTGACAAATGAACCATTTCCAGTGACATCACTTCCTCTTCAGACAGGAAGTTTGGTGTAAAAGCGCGTCTGAACGGGGCTCTGAATGCGACTCTGAATCTAGTGAAGCATAATCTTCAGAACTACAAGCTGTTGCTGCCGTGCCTTCAGGTGCTTCGGGTCTACTCAAGCAACTGTACGTTCACTCGTTTTCTGTGCTCTGTAGTGCATTTCTGATACATTTCTTTAGTGCATCACTACAGTGAGGCATTAGCATACTTGTGTTTTCTTGTAGTGGTAAATGCAGTGTCGCTGGGAAAGAGTGGCGCTTTGGAGATCATGTTCGAAATCATCGGACCCTTCAGCAAAAAGAGCACCACTCTGCTGAAGTATGTCATGTGTGTGTGTTCATGTTTACCAGATCTGAGAATCATATAGTGCAATGTTACAAGAATGGTACCGATCACTAAATATGTGGTGACAACATAAAATCTGATTTTGTTTTTCTTTTCTTTATTCATTTATTGGGTCTTTTCCCAAACAGGGTGGCCTTGGACACACTGGCGTCATTACTGAAGTCTGGTAAGATGCCTGCTTGGACGATTCTCACCCAACCTCTCAAGAACATGTTAATATGAAAGACCAAAATAGAAAGAAAGATATAATATATAAATTGTAATGGTAATGAAATCGTGGCTTTTAATTTACACCGTTATATTTATTCCCCTTTTTTTATTACACTAATAAGGACAATGGGAATAGCACAATGGGAATAAATCATACAGATGATTATAGTAATGAAAATATACATAGAAAGTGCTTAATTAGAATGAAAACAGTGTCTTAGTAAATTAACCCATTTATCTTCCTTATTTATTTGTCAAGAATAATTTTGTCAAGGTAATTTTGTTGTATCATATTCATGAGTTATATTATATTATATTAATGGTAACAGTTGAGTATAGGAACCAATTCTCACTATTAACTAGTTGCTTATTAGCATGCCTATTATTAACATATTGGCTGTTTATTAGTAATTATAAAGCACATATTCTGCGTGACCATATTATATGTCCCTAATCTGACCCCATACCTAAACTAAACAACTACCTTACTAACTATTAATAAGCAGCGAATTAGGAGTTTGTTGAGACAAAAGTCATAGTTAAAGGGGGTTAATCCACCCCAAAATTAAACTTTTGTTTCCCGTAAAAGCTTCGTTCGTCTTCGGAACACAATTTAAGATATTTTGGATGAAAACCAGGAGGCTTGTGACTGTCCCATTGACTTTCTAGTAAATAACACTGTCAAGGTCCAGAAAAGTATGAAAGACATCTGCCATCAGTAGTTCAACCGTAACATTATGAAGCGACGAGAATACTTTTTTGTACGCAAAGAAAACAAAAATAACGACTTCATTCAACAATTTGTCTTCTCTGCGTCACCGTAGCGCCATTTTGGAGAGTATGCACTGAACCCAAACTGCGTATGCTGTTCTGTGTCAGCCGCACCACACGGATACGTTTTCTACGCTTATTTACGCTTTGATTTTGTAACGAATCAGCTCATGGGAAATATGAATAATTAATCATAACTAGTTATAATTAATTATGAATATTTTAGATCCGCTGTAGATATTTAGCTGACCTCTCAGGGTCAACTGTCTTGTCAATTCTAAGAACATTAATTTCCTGGTTAAGGGAAATAACTTTCTTACTGTACAACTCTACACAGAGCCTGTAGCATAAATCTGCATGATTAAGTGACTCCAGTTATAAAAAAACAATGAGCCACGTCAAGTGTGATACAAGTAAGGTTTTATTAACTACATAAACACTTAAACTAGTTTAACATACTACATAAACACATAAACTGGTCTAACATCCTACATAAACACATAAACTGGTCTAACATACACATACACACACACACACA